GACCCAAGAAGCACGGACTTTCCACTACCCTCTAAATACGAGCAGACGTTCACTACAGTAAGGCTGGCATTTGGGCACGTTAGTTAATCTGTAGTATTGTTAAGTGCTATTTAAACTTAGGGACAGATCAGGAAAACTCCGGCAAAGTCCTTTGTCTGGAGTAGACCACGCGGTACGCCTCCCTTCCCCCCTATACTTTGATAACATCACAAGCACTGTTTCATTGTACCTGAGCGCATCTTGGTGCGCGTACACAACACCCATTCACACCTCCGTGAGCGCATACACGCCTCACGTGTTTCCTGTTGCCGTTCCTTCTACCTCGCAGTTCTTCTTCCACTGCGCAGTCGCGTATGTGAACACGCCTCAAGGGCTCAGTCGCTTGCTTGGTGGCTAAGAGGCAACATCTCTCTCTCGTACACGACCACTCGTGTACACACGCACATAAGTACACACACACACACACACACCTACACACGCCTTGTTTTGTTATAATGATCATTGTTTATGAGTTCAATCACCGTCATTAACTTGACAGTGTTGTATAAATAAATTTGATTATTTTTGTAAACTGTGTTTGTCTGTGTTGTTACTTTATTCATTGAAGCCACCCAATTTGCCAAGAACTCTCAAAATCCTTCAGATATTTAATTGTTATTGGATACTATTGATTTTAGTATATTTGTAATACTTCAAGTAATACATTATTGCTATATTAGTAGGTTAAAATAATAATTAAAGATAACTTTAATGAGACTGGTTGTGTTATTAATTTGAGACTGGTTGATAACACCGAGTGCTCCTAAGCAGCACTCGACCCATTGCACCTACAGTGGTAATAGCCTGTGTGATTGTAACAGTGATGGGGAATAAAAATGATGATCGAATCAATTATATACATTACAGTGTCCTGCACCTGGCTGATATGACTCAAGATGCTGATAAAAAATTGACTGATGAGCTGCAAGTTAACTTTATGATATCATTTCAGAATAAGAACCTGATAGACAGAATATTTGCTGAGAAGTCTGCGCCATTCCCAATAACACAGCCGCCGACGGTTCAGTGAGGCGGCCACTTGAAGGGTTACTTATGTTGTCTGCACAAATGCATGAACATTCCTGTATACAGAATGATTTGGAAGACTTTTTTACAAAATGGAATGGAAAAATGTTGTTATGTCAGCTATAACATGGTTGTGTTAGCTGTTGTTACTATGTGTGGTTGTTGTTGTATCACCTGAGCCAGGTCATTATGTGAGAAAACCATCTTTCGAGCAGTCAGCCCAACACAACATATCTGTGGTAATTATGTCACCATGGCCCCGGGTATACGTGATTTCTGTGCCAGTTGGAAACTTGGTCTTTCAGCTACTGTGGTGACTCCGAACTATAAGGGGGTGACTGTCTTGGAGATGAAGTGATCTTTTAGCAAAGATCAAAGGGGGGAATTGTAGAAATATTACTGCTCTGCTATAACTCAATAGGTCCATATATGGTGACTCGGAAGGTTTAATTAAACGAATGATTATCAGTAAAGAATACCTACTAAACCATCTTCTTTTGACACCCCAGCCATGTGTGTAGGTTGTTTTCACATATTGAATTATTATTTCCACCAAGTATTTTACTTCTCTTATGATATATGCATACACTCTATCTTAAACTATGTATGAACTTGGTATGAAATAATATTTCTGATAATAGTTTTTTTTTTCACCTCCATCGTCATTTTGCACATTACCATCCAATGTTGTCTGGCGAGCTACTCTCGCCTGCCACCATCTTACAGTCTCTAATCTCCCTCAGATTACCTCTTCTACATAGAATATAATCTATCTGTGAGGACCTGCCTCCATTCTTTTAAGTCACCCTGTGTTCCTCTTTGTTTTGGAAATAGGTGTTAACCACAGCCATTTCCATTCTCTTTGCAAAATCTACATATGCTTCTGTAACAACTGTTTAGCACAAGCATAATCGTTTTCACTCTAATGCAGCAAGAACAATGAACTATTAGAACTGGAAACACTCTCCTTATAATTAAGGTTAGGTACCTCTTTGTCTTGTCTAAGAGTGGTATGATGCTTCGTTGCTTAAACACTATTGTGGTTTGTGTCTTTGTAGTGTAACTTGCCGTTGCAGGGTTTATATTATAATATAATAGAAAATGCTATTGCAGTACTAGTAGAAAACCAAATATAGAAAGGATGCTTGATATGGCGAACATCTTGTAAGTGTGTCGCTCTAATAAAATAAAATAATTAGTTTGTAATACGTTTACAATCTTTTTTATATTCAACTATCTTTAAAACTCTTATTAATTAATGAGTGTAATCACTGCTGTATATATGAGCTCTATTACTTGGTCTTTACAGGACACCGGTATCAGTGTACGGAAATGAGTGATCAAGACAATATCAAGACATCTGTGTGGAGCAACCCACATTCAGTAAGATCACCGAGATGTGTGTGAGGATGATCCGCAGCGCCAATGACGAAGATGGTATCAAGGTAAGAACTAAGAGCACTTTGTGCCCCCCTCAAAAAACAAACTAAAATAATAATAATAATAATAATAATAAAAACTACCCAAAAAAATGATATTGATAGAAACTGGTGAATGAGACATTCCAGACGTTGTGGTTCACTCCAACTCCAGCCCATGACGACAAATAGGCAAGTGAAATCACTCATCAGCCATTAACCAGGGTTCAAATATTGTTTAAATCTGTGGACAGTTGGCAGCGTGTCGAGACACTGGCTACGACTGGTTTGAGCAACTTTTCCAGAATGTAAGAGTTTGACTACAGATATGGGTTTTAGTTTGTCGAAATACCTCAGTGTTCACAATATCAAAATGTTTGTCACTGTAGCTTCTCAAGAGGATGCATCATATAAACCAACCAAGAAGGCCTGTGTTCAACTAGTTGACAATCTGGTAGAACATATCCTAAAATATGAGGAGTCACTTGCTGGTAAGCAACTCTGCTGACATTAACTTCAGTTGTTACATGAAACCGTAGCCAAGTACTTTTGGTTGAGTTTATCAGTCTTGACTCAAACAAAATGTTAAAAGTTAGGTAAAGTACCTAAATGTGAATCTGAGAACTCCTGTAAATGTCAGAAACGTCCCATTTTGTAATTTGTTATTTATTGTTTCATTTTTACTTGCAGAGAACAAAGTTGTGAGCTCAACACGCCTAGTAGCGTGGATCACCACCTTATACTTGTTCAGCAAAATCATGACCCAGCTGATGGTCAGACATGCCATGACCATGCAACCCTTCCTGACCACAAAGTGTAATGTAAGTTGCCTTTACTAGATATTGTACTATTTTAGTTTTTATAGAAAATTCAACTGAAGTTGAATTGCCTTAGCAAACACACTAGCTTCATTCTTTTTTCTGTGATGACTTTTTCTGGAGCACCCCAGTGAAACTTCCCTTGCCACCACTGACGGAGATCTAATGAAGCTGATCACCAGTGAAGCTGTAGAATTTTTTGTGTGTGTGTGTGCGTTACAATTAATCGATTAGACAGTTGTTTTTGCTTGTTGTGTAGGTGGTGCAGCACTGTGTGAGCTGCCTTGGAGCCGTTGTCAACAAAGTGACTACATTAACAGATTCTATGGTTAGTTAGCTTTTAGCTTGATGAAGTGCCAATCAATCTAGAAATGGTCAAATGATACATTTATAAACATTGGTATTTCATTATTTTCTAGGTGCACTTAACAAACTTAAGATTCAGCATCAGGAGGATCCCAGTAGTCCAACCTTAGTAGCAAACAAGCCTTTCCTGCTGTGGTCCCTCTTCACAGTGGGTGCTCTGGCACGATACTTTGATTTCGATCTGAAAGAATTCAAAGGCTCAAACAAGGTAACAAAAAATAAATGGTGGTGAATGAAATTAACCAATCATCAAACATCTACCGTTTATACAAATATACAGGGAGTGCAGAATTATTAGGCAAGTTGTATTTTTGAGGATTAATTTTATTATTGAACAACAACTATGTTCTTAATGAACCCAAAAGACTCAAAGCTGAATATTTTTGGGAGTTGGAGTGGGGCTTTTTTAGTTTTAGCTATTTTAGGAGGATATCTGTGTGTGCAGGTGACTATTACCGTGCATAATTATTAGGCAACTTAACAAAAAACAAATATATACCCATTTAAATTATTTATTTTCACCAGGGAAAACAATATAACAGCTCAACATTCACAAATATACATTTCTGACATTCAAAAACAAATCAGTGACCAATATAGCTACCTTTCTTTGCAAGGACACTCAAAAGCCTGCCATCCATGGATTCTGTCAGTGTTTTGATCTGTTCACGATCAACATTGCGTGCAGCAGCAACCACAGCCTCCCAGACACTGTTCAGAGAGGTGTACTGTTTTCCCTCCTTGTAAATCTCACATTTGATGAGGGACCACAGGTTCTCTATGGGGTTCAGATCAGGTGAACAAGGAGGCCATGTCATTAGTTTTTCTTCTTTTAGGCCCTTTCTTGCCAGCCAC